AGTGGAAGGCGTCCGCGAAGGCGGCCAGGTTCTGCAGCGAGCCCAGCACCCTGCGGGCGGGCGGGCGACAGGGCAGCCTGAGACGGAGCGGGGCGCGCCGGGGCGCAGGCGCGCGGGGCGCGGGGACACTTGCCTGTACTTCAGCGGGCTGTGAACGTCGGTCTTGATGGACTGGACAGCGAACTCGGGCCGGTAGGACCCGCACCACACCTGTGGGCACGTGAGGGGCCTGGCCACGGGACTGGGGGACGGGCGAGCCTGGGGGCTGGAGGAGGGGGCAGCGGCCCTGGGCGGGATGGAAGGAGTCCCCTCTAGCTCCAGCTGCCCCTTGTGGAGTGGGGACAGGGAAGCCACCAGGTTCCTGCCCTCCCTCCACGTCTACATTCGGCTCCTCCCCAGCTCCCCCCCATCCTCCTCCTCCAGGAAGCCTTTCAGGCCCCCTGCTTCTGGTTCTGCAGGGCTTGTCAGCTCGTGGTGGCCCCCCAAAGATGTGAAACAGGAGGCGTGGGTGGGGCCAGGGACTGTGGCAGCTACCTGGGCATAGTTGATGAAGAAAAGCTGGTCGTGGGTCATCTGCAGCCCGGGCAGCTGCTGGTCCTTGCCACCTTCCCTCACCCACTTCAGGTAAGCCTGTGGGCACCAAACGGGTGCTGGACCCGGGCCTGCTGGGCCACGACTCCAGAGTCCTTGGATCTCCAGGCATAAGGGGGATCTGGCTGCAGGACCTACCCCAGGTGGGGGAGCCAGCCTCTGTAGCTTAGGGCCCCTTTGCTCACCCCCAGGGATGAGTGCTCACCACCCCATTCAGCAGCTCTGAGCACCTGCACCGGTGGGGGGGCTCCGTGGGGGCTCTCTTGCCAGGCAGACCACCACACAGCACCCACCCAGAGCAAGCTCTTGATGCCCAGTGCCCGCTGGCTCGTGAGGCTGTAGGTGCAGGCGTGCCAGGGCCGGCAGGTGTGCCAGTGACTATCTTATCTGGAGGTGGAAGGTGGTCTCCACACTCAGCTAAGATTGGTGGAATGTCGGGAGACGTGCGCCACCGCCTGCCCAAGGCCAGGAGGTGCTCGCCAGGGCACCGCTGCCTCAAAGTACGGATAGCAAGGGTTCGCAAGACACGACCTCAGTTGGGGCATGGTCCCCGCCTCTGAGACCCACCTCGTAGGCCTGCCGCACCCCTCCGTTGTCAGCAATGTTTTCCCCGAGGGTGCTGAATCCGTTCACCTGTGCACAGGAGACAGGATGGGGGGTGGCTTGGGCGCTGGCTCCCCTGCTCCCGCGGGGTTGGGGCTGGGGCGCAGTCCCCAGGCAGCTGTGGTGCTGGTGGCACCTCACATTTTGGTTGTCTGCCAGGTCCCAGGAGTAGTTGCCATACTGGTAGATCATGCACTGCGACTGCTCCTGGAAGTGCTGCGCGGAGAAGTTACTCCACCAGTCCAGCATGTTGCCATTCTTGTCAAAGTTCCGGCCTGGGCAGGAGCAGAGGTGGCTGCCGGGTGCCCTGCCAGCCAGTGCCCAGCCTCTCCTGCACCTCCTCCAGCCACCCTTGTGTCTAGATCACAGTTCACAAGCAGACACTGAGCCCTGAAGAGCATTGACATGCTGTAGGGGGCGTCACGTTGTCGTGGGGCTACTTGGACCCCCAGAGAGGGAGGGTTTCAGTGGTCTATCCATGCCACTGTCCAAGGTTAGGGCCTGGTGTCTAGGATCCTGTGGTCCCAGAGGCATCATGGTTTAAGAACACCTCCTGTGATGTCCAAACTCTAAACCCCTGGTGAGGAGAGCATGTGGCCCCTGAGGACACGGGGCTGTCCTTGGAAGGTGGCCAAGCCACATGGGAAAAACGGCTGAGGCCCTCGTGGTGGCAGGCCCTAAGAACCAGGCATGGGGGCCCCAGTGGTGGAGTTCCACGTGTCGGGGTCAGTGCATCTTAAGCTGGAGGACCCTGAGCTTCACAGAGACACTGGGTGGTCTCTCTGTCCCTGTTTCACAGGCCCAGGGAGGGGAAGTGACCAGTTGTCAGGTGGAGTCCGGATCATGAGATCGAGCCCTTGTGTCCTCTCCATGCCTGGAGCAGGTTTCCTGGACAGAGACCAGCCTGGCATTCAAGACTTGTCTGCTACCTCAGCTCCCTGGAGGACCTGGCATGTCCTCCCATGCCCTGGCCTCACCATGCCTGGAGCAGGTTTCCTGGACAGAGACCAGCCTGGCATTCAAGACTTGTCTGCTACCACAGCTCCCTGGAGGACCTGGCATGTCCTCCCATGCCCTGGCCTGTGTCCTCACAAAGGGGTTGAATAGATGGCCTCCAGGCTACTCAGTGGAGACGAGAGGGTGTGTGTGTGTGTGTGGCTTGGAGGCGCAGCTCTGGGGCACCCCTAGTCAGCACCCCTTACCACTGTCATCGAAGCCGTGCGTGATCTCGTGCCCTATCACCATCCCAATGCCCCCGAAGTTCAAGGCCTGTGGCTGCTCCTTGCTGAAGAAGGGGGGCTGGAGGATGCCGGCAGGGAACACTGCCCGGAGCAGGGCAAAGGGTAAGGTATGAATGGGCACACCTCCTGTGTGCCAGCCTTGGGCGAGCACCTCTGGGTCCTGTCTCTTAACCCACAGCCCGGAGGTAGAGATTAGGACCCCCACCCCCACCCATTTTACAGATGAGGAAACTAAGGCTCAGAGGCCAGGGCTACTGTGTGGCAGATCCAGGGCCCAAGTGCAACCTCTTTCCACTGTTCTGTGCTGCCTTCAGGTAGAGGCTCTTTGCTGCCCCGTCCCACACATCCCTCTGGACCTGCTCATGGGCACAGGAGCAAAGCTGCCCAGCAGGTGGACCGCAGGGTGAAGTGGGAGAGACCGGCACCTACTCCCCTTCTGAGAACAGGCTGGGTGTCCCAGGTGTAAGGGTGGGAGGGGCTGCTCACTGCTCCCGCAACTCTGGCCGGGAGTGGGCGGGGCCCAGGGCATCCTGGCTCTGCCCCCTCGCCATGTGGCCCTGCCTTTTAGGCCATGGAGAGGTTTCATGGGGACAGTGCGTGGAGAGCTCAGCCTGCCTGATCTGCAGCCTGACAAGCCAGCCGGGCTCTGGGTGGGGGAAGGGCCCAGGAGGAGTCACTTGGCTGCTGTGTGTCAGCGTCTGGAGGGGCTTCTGATGGGTCCCAGCCCTTACTCTGGAGGCCACAGCCACCCGCACCGGTTCCTGGGGATGTTGGGGGTTTCCTAGGCTTGGCTTCCATTCCTGCTTCTGCCCACAGTCCCTTCTTGAGCAGACCCGCTGTCCCCTCCTCGTCTTCCTCGTCTCTAAAGTGGGTGTGGTGACGTCTGCCCTGGGCCTCCCCGGGGCTGCCCTCTCTGGCTGGGGCCCTCTGGCAGCTCTGTCTGGGTGGGTGCTGCCATACCCAGCTCCAGCTGGGCCCGTGGCTGTCCAGGCCTCTGCCGGGCTGCCTCACCTTCTCCTGGGCCTTCTTCTTGGATGCCTCGTCCATCCAGCCCAGCTCGTCCAGGGCCTCCACGAACACTGCCCGCACCTTGTCAATGAGTTCTCTCACCTGGGGAGCATGCAGGGCCCTCCTGTCATGGCCTCCTCCAGAGGGCGGGTGACCAGCATTCAGGGTCTTTCTGGGGGGCTGGTCCAAAGCACCCAGGGCCGGGCCGGCCCAGTGGCGCACTGCTACAGTGCGCTGCTTGGGAGCGTGGTGGCGCTCCCGCCGAGGGTTCGGATCCCACATACGGACCGGTTCCCACTCACTGGCTGAGCGAGGTGCGGGCGCAACACCGAGGGTTGCGATCCCGTTGCCGGTCCCCGGTCCGGTACGGGGGCAACACTGAGGGTTGCGATCCGTTGCCGGACACGAAAAAAAAAAAAAAAAAAAAAAGGAAAGCACCCAGGGCCACCCCGGGTTAGGGGGTTGGGGGTCAGAGGCACCAGGGTGGGCGGGGTCTCCCTTGGCCTCGCCAGGTACCACTGAGCAGGAATCTGCTGCTGGGGGGCGACAGGGGCCTGCCTAGCTGGGAGTGGGAGTCATGTGCAGGGCGGTGGCCGTCCGAGGGTGAGCAGCCCCTGGGTCAGGCCACGGGCAAGGGGGTGGCCACCCACCACGTTCTTGCTGTCCCTGGGGAAGGCCTCCTGGACGTAGAGGGAGCCTGCGGCACTCTCCATGTTGCTGTTGACGTAGCTGACGCACTCCCGCCAGCGCACCTGCTCCACTGTCGTGCCGTACAGCACCTGGGTGGGCATTTGTCCCTTCATTCGCTGCATTTACCAACACACCTTCCCACCAGGGTCTCACGTGGGGCCCTGGGTCACTGGGTGGGCAGACCCACCCCGTTCCGGCCTCAGGGTGCCCGGGGCCAGTGGGCGCGCGGATGAGCTCAGAGGTCGCCTCTGCATGCTGGCCGCGCGTGTGCAGCTCTGAGCGGGAGCTCCCACCCAGGCAGGGGAGTTGGGAGTGGTTCCTTCTCGGGCCCTGTCCTCGCCACCCTGACCTGGCTGTCTGGCTGGACTCTGCCCTCAAGGACCCCAGCCCCACCCACAAGGCACAAGGCTGGCACTGACCCCGCAGCAAGTCCCGGGGACCACCTCCAGCTTGGCCGCCAGCCATCAGCTCCCTGAGCCCTATCTTTCCCACCACTGAAGTGGCAATGAGAACACCTGCCGTCCGTCCCCAGGGACACAGAGTCACCAGATAAAACGTGTCTCCCATCAGACTCTTGGCCCAGATCTCAGGCTGGCCCAGAGAGAGCTCTGCCCAGCATCCTGCCCTCTAGGAAGCCAGCATGGCCCTTCCTCTCTTCCTGGAGCTCCTGGACTCAATTCCCTCCCTGATGCTTGGTTAATGATGTCTCCAACCTACCATGCCAAAGGGGAGCCCTGATGTGCCCTGGCCTGCTCCTGCCCCAGTCTCCCCTTGCAGTGCGGGGCCTTCATTCATCCCACTCAGAGTCCCCCAACTTCTCTCTGTCCCTCATCCCTCACATCCAATCTCGTAGTCATCTGTCATCAACACCTCTCCTGAAATCATCTTCTGCCAATGCCTGGTCCAACCCCAACACCTGTCACCAGGATGAGCGCACCAGCTCCCGGCAGGTCCCCTGCCTCCACTCCCCCAGAAGCCAGAATGACTGCACAACCAGAATCTGGCTGGCTGTACATGTAACACCCCAGTGGCTTTCGGTGCACATGCAATACAACCCGCCTCTCCCTGACCTCATTTTCTCCCGTCCCTCCACGTGGCCCCTGGTTTTGGCCTCCTGACTGTTCCTGCCTCAGGGCCTCTGCACTGTTTCTGCTGCCTGGAAATCTCCTCCCCCACCCCCCCGCCACCGGTTTCTTCATGCCTGGGTCCTTCCTGCCTTTAGGGGTTTCAAATGCCACCTCCATGGAGTGGCTGTCCCTACTCTTGTCCCTTCCTGCTCCCACCATCCTTGCTGGTTTTGATAGGAAATGTTTCTGCTTTGTTGGATGCTTACTGTGGACCACCCCATGAGGGCAGGTGACCCATCCACCTCGTTCACAGCTCTGACCCCGTGTGAGCTGGGTGCTCGGCCCACTGCTAATGCTCAGCATCATAATCTGAACGAGTGAGTGACAGGCAGGCAGGGGTGGGGCTTCTATGCAGGGCCTGCTCACCTTGCGATAGTTCACTCGTGCATCCTTGAAACGCTGGCTCAGGCTGCTGATGCGATCCAGCACCAGGCGCCAGACCAGGTAGTTCTGCATGGTCCTGGGGGTGGGAGGCAGAGGATGGGGAGTAGGACAGGTGGGTGGTGTTTTCCAGGGTGGGGATGTGGCTTAGGGCCCTTGGCAAGCTGTTTCTACCCCAAGCAGAGAGTTCTGGTTGCTGGAGAAAACTTCTAAGACAACGACCTTGCAGATGCAGTCTGTGTGCTCCTGGATGGTTAAGATGCACCACGTCTCCAGTGTGAGCCTCCACGGGCCACTGAAATTTACCTCCTCATATCCCTCACAGCTTAAGGTAAGTGCTTAATGGGGTGCTCTGCTGAGAGCAGAGGCACAGATGCTGAGACCTCTTAGGACCTTCCCAGGGCCTCACCTGGGCGAGTAGACATCTATGATGTCTTCGAGATTCTGTAGGTAGGGGATGCCGTAGACCACCACTTGCTCATTTGGCAGCAGCTCGATTTTGACAGAGGACAGCACAGTTTGTATGAAGAGAGTCCAGTTAAATCCCTGAGGAAGGAGGGAGTGGGGAGAAAGAGGGAGAGGAAGAGAGTGGATACAGTTCCTGGGCATCCCAGAAACCCACCCCCACCCGGGAGTATTCAAGAATTAAGAGGAGGTGCAGGTAGAGTCGGGGTGACGTTGCTACAGAGCCTGCAGACCGTCAGAAGAGAACAGGTTATGCCGATACATCTGAAAATTTAAATGTCGTGGGAAAATTCCTGGAAAAACATGACTTAGCAAAACTGACGAAAGAAGAAATAGAGAATATGAATAGTCGTCTGGGTTAAATAAACTGAATCTTTGATCTGAAATATTCCCACAAAGAAACTTTAAGGCCCATCAGCTTTACCAGTGGATTCTGTCTTCCACTGAAGAAAAACCTACTGCCAATCTTACTGAAACTTCCCAAAGGACCGCCTTTTCAACTTGATTTATGAGGCCAAGAATAACCTTAATATCAAAACAAGTATATTACAGAAAAAGAAGATAATAAGCTAGTCTCACGATCATAGATACAAACAATTCTAAGCAAAGATTAGCAAATAGAGTTCAGCCACGTTTATGTAAAATAATAATACATGACCGTCAAATTAGATTTATTCAAGAAATATAAGTTTGGTGTAACATTTGGAAATCAAATCAGTATGATTCACGTGGATAAGTGAATAAAGGAGGAAAGTCACCCGATAATTTAATAGATGCAGAAAAGGCATAAGCTGTCTGCCACCATGACTTCAGCCTTGTGCTGCAAGTCCTCACCACCTCAGTGAGACAAAAAATGAAATAAAACCGATAAGGACTAAAAGGGAATAAATAAAACTATTTTTCACAAATGACATGGTTCTGTGTGTATACAGTCTGAAAGGATCTACAGGTAAACTATTAGAGCTGATCAGTGAACTGACTAACACTGCTGTATATAGTTGGTATTTATACTAGCAACAAACAGTAAGAAGATAAATTACGAAATGATATCATTTACAATAATGTAAAACACCTAGAAATAAATCTAATAAAAGATACATAAGACCTTGAGATATAAGATTACAAAACTTATTGAGAGAAATTAAAACATCCATAAATGGAAGCATACATCAGGTCCATGGCAAGACTCAGCACTGTCAAGATGTCAATCTTCCCAAATTGATATGGAGATTCAAAGCAGTCCCTATCAAAATCTCAGCAGGTTATTTTTGTGGAACTGGCAACCTGATTTTAAGTTTTAAAAGAAAATGCAAAGGACTAAGAATAATCAGGATAATCTCAAAGAACAGAGTTGTTGGATTTACTGTATTGGATATCAAGACTGACTATAAAGCTGTAGTAATGGAGGTTGTGGGTGGTTGGCAGGTGGGTGGATAGAGAGTCCAGTGGAACAGCAGAGTCCAGAAATACGCATGCTCGTGAACATGCAGACACACACACAGAGAAGCAGACACACAAAGACTCTTGATTTGCAACAGAGATGGCACACAGAGCAGTGGCCCAGGGGTGAGGGGCGGGGGGACTCTTTAATGAATGGTGCTGGATTATCTGGAAATCCGTAAGAAACAAACAATACAATTCCTACGTCTCACCGTAAATACGAAAAAGAACTCACGCTAGATGGTGGACCCAGACAAGCTTGGGGGCAGGCAAAAATTTCTTAAACAGAACACAAAAAACACTAACCACATAAAAAAGATTGCTGAGTTCGTGCACGAAGTTTATACCTTGGACCATTTAAAAACCTCCTTTGGCTCTCTCTTGCTTGTGCTGTCTCTTGCCATGTGACATCCTGCATCTCTGTGGAGGGTCACCGCCAAAAACAATGCCCTCACCAGATGTTCCCTGGACTTTGGACTTCTCAGCCTCTAAAAGTGAGGTGGCAGAACGTCACGCACCGTGACACGCTAGCCTGCCCTCAATATCGCTGAAGCTGAGACACGGGACCCAGAGGTGAGCTTGGGTGAGTCTCCACCCAAGGAGGAGCCGGGGTCTCCATGTCTGCCTATCCCTGTTTCACGTCATGGATCAGCCAGACAGGAAGTCTCAACTCACCACCTGTGGACTGTCACCTGCAGGAGTCCAGGGCTCAAGGTTTAGCCCGTGTGACAACTTCCTGAGGTCCCGCTGTTGCCCAAAGGCCACATTCTTCCCAGGTCCAAATGCAAATGTGGCTTCAGAACTGACCAGTGAACTATGTGACCCATAGTGGACCAGTCCAAACTGAACGAGCCTGCACCCTTTATTTACATGAGAGTCCTCAGTGAGAATTCGGGAGGGAAGAAAGGCGGGAGCTTTGGCTCTAAATGACGACGCCTTTCCGTTGCTCGGGGAGACACAGCTTTGGGAGCCACCCCCAGTGTTCTCCTTACTTGCAAATAAAGCCTTTTCCTCCCAAACAAAACTAAAACCAAAACCCAAAACCTCCTTTGAAAGAAAAGGACCATTACAATTAAAAAAGCAGGCGCCCAGTGCGGAGGACATTTGTGCTCATAAACTGACCACGGTGTCACATGCAAAATATATAAAGAGCTCTAAAAACCGATATGAAAAAGGCAGACAGCCACATCGGACAAATGGGCAAAAGACCTGAGCAGACAGTTCACAGATGTTATGGGTCACATGTGTCCCCCAAAGCTCATGTGTCAGAAACTTGATCCCCACTGAAACAGTGGGGAAGAGGGTGGAAATCTGATTATATTTGCAAAGCGGGGCCTTTGAGAGGTGACTGGACCGTGAGGACCGTGCCCTTGTGAACAGAGGAAGCCACTCATGGGATTGTGAGCTTTCAGGGCTGTGGTTCTGACGGCTGTTCCAGGAGAGCGAGCGGGTGAGGTCAGTGCTCTGGCTCATGCATTCTCTCACCATGTGACACCTCGGTCGCCACGGGACCCTGTAGCGAGTTCCCACCCAGAAGGCCCCTGCCAGATGTATTCCCTGAACCTTGGACATCCTAGTCTGCAACCTGTAAGAAATACATTTCATTTCTTTATAAATTACCCAGTTTTAGGATTGGCTGGTTAGCTCAGCTGGTTAGAGCATGGTACTGATGACATTAAGTTCCAGGGTTTAATCCCTGTACTGGCCAGCAGCATAAAAAAAAAAAAATTATATTTATATATAAATTCCAGTTCTGGTTATTCTAAGCAACAGAAATGGATTAACACAACCAACGAGGGCAACCTTTGGCCAATCGGCATGGAAGAGCACACAGCTGACCGGCCATCAGCGCGAGTCTAGTTGGACCTGGTGGAACTGCACTACGCAGCCACTGCGCCGCTGGGATGAGAACGGCGTGCCCCACCCTGGCGAGGAGCCCACCCGCTACTGGGGAGCGTACACTGGCACGATGATCTCGGGCAGGGAAAGCTGGGTTGGCATCATCGACTGCAGTAGAACGCGTGCAGGTAACGCGGGCAGTGTCACTCCTACGCATGTACCTAACAGAAGCGCAGCCACGTGCCAAACACATGCACACGAAGGAGCACCGCAACATTATTCAGCAGCTTCTAGAGCTGGATGCACCCAAGGCTCAGTGACAGCAGACTAGGGTGCAAGTTGTGTGTTCTTAGAACCGAACCCCGTTCAGCAGTTGTGACGCAGGAAGGACCGCAGATGCCTCGGCAGAGTGAGCCCACCTACGGAAGGTAGCACGAAGACACCCACTGAAAACGGGCACGCTGCTTCCAGTGACCCCGCCTGTGCTGTGATAAGCCAGGTAGTGGCTGCTCTGGAGAAGAGGGTGGAGGTGGGGCCTGGGGAGGGGCGAGGGGGGCTTCTGGGGCGCCGGGAGTGGTTTAGGTCTCGATCTGAGTAATGTTCCGTGGGCGTGCCCACTTGGTGGCGATCTCAAACATCACACACACGTCACAAACCAGACCCCACTGACACCCCCAACCCGGGTTTCTGGACACCCCCCCGGACTGCTCCCACGCCATCTCCGTGGCAACACCAGGCCGTGTGAGTGTTCCTGCTTCCCGCATCTCGTCCATTTGCAAACCCTGTTAGGTCTACTTCAGGATGGATCCAGAAGCCGCCCTGGCTCCGCTTCTGCCACCACCTTGTCCCCGCTGCTGCATCGTCTCACCTGGTGGTGCTGCAGCCCCTGCCTGGTTGCCCTGCTGCTGTCCTTGTCCCCTTGGGCCTATTTCCACAGCAGCCAGATCCCCTTACGTGTGAGTCATGCATGTCCTGTCATGCCCCGAACCCTCTCAGGCAGGGTCCAAACCTTTAAAATGGTCCTCGAGGCCTGACTCGGTCCAGCCCTCCACGTCCTGCCTCGTCTCCCCTGCGGCCACTCAGCCACCATGCTGCCCGCTGCGGGGCTGGGCCAGCAGCCCTGCCTCAGGCCCTTGGCACTGGCTGCCTGGACCACATGGCTCCTCCCAAGCCTCCGCAGCATGCAGCCTCCCACGGTGGTCTTTCCTGGCTGCCCTCGACCCTGCCCCTTCCTTGCTTTCAGACACATCCTAAAATGTCCCCTCTGTTTCCTGTCCCTCTTGTTCACTGGTGGAGCAAAGTGTGGAACAGAGCCCGGCCCCACAGTGTCAGTTGGGGAGTGAGGGAGTCATGAGGGGTGTTGAGGAAGGTTGTCACTTCCCAGGCCACCACTGGGAACCAGTGCCCTGGAGAAAGCAGGACCCAGAGCCATAGAGCCTTCCGGAGCACGAGGGGGCACGGGTCGGGGGCTCCCCCCGAGTTCTGCTTTGTCCTCAGCAGGCACCACGGCTCCCATGCCTGTGTACGTGTCCTGGTCAGGAGGTAGGAGCTCCGGGTCCCCCCCGCTGGCTCTGGCTCGTCCCTGCCCTCGACCTCTGTCCTCTGACTTGGGCGTCCATTGCTGCAGAGGCTGTGGCTAGAGCTGTGGCCCCGCCCTGCTGGGGGTGGCGGCCCCTGGAGAAGGCAGTGCTCAGGGCAGAGACGGTCGCTGAGCAGCCTGGGTGGGGGGCAACGCCAAGCTCGCCTCTTCCCGGCATGGCCACTCCTCTCCAGCCCCCCCTGCAGTGGTAAGATAGTGCCTGGCCTGGCCATCTGGGGAGGGAAGGCCCGAGGGTCAGGCAGATCCAGGAAGGCTGAACCGTGCCAGGATTCCGAGAAGGACGTGGGGTCCCAGAGCCATAGGTGGGGGTCTGTGGACCTCAGAACATCAGCAGCCCCTCTGAGCCTCAGTTTCCTGCTCACAAAACTGGGGTTGTCATAGCAGCTCACAGATGGGGGGGCTCTGTGTCCGTCAATCCTGGTGATTAGTAATCGTGCCCACCCTTCTCTCAAGGTGTCCTGGTTTGGACGCTCAATTATATGGTCCCCCTGCTGGGGAGGGGAGGATTTTTGAGGCTTAAATGAGAGGCAAGGGTTGGGTCAGGCCCTGGGGCCAGGTGCCCTCTCAGATGGCTGCCTCCCGTGTCTCCTGTGGAGACCTGAGCCTGGCCATTGCTGGCCCTTCTGCATGGGACCGTGGACCTCACCTTCAGGCCAAACTTGTTCTGGAGCTCCTCCAGGTCCATCCTGTGGTACAGGGTGGTGACATCGTGTCTCTCCTCCTGGGGTACGGTGGCCTGTGCCAGGAACCGGGTGGTCACAGGGGGGAAGCTGCCAGGCCGCGGCCTGGGACCCCCAGCCCCGGCCCCCACCAGCCCCGCCTCACCTTGGCCAGATGCTTCTCCAGCTCCAGCACCTCCACCATGTCCTCCCGCACCTGGTGGCTGTTCCTGGGGAGGTTCCTGTCCTCACGCAGCATGGTGGCCACTGATGTCATGAACTGCAGGTAAGCTCTCTGTACCTGGGCCAAAAGATGTGGGACACAGCTGGGAGGTCTCAGCCACCTTGGCCCCCATGGAGCTTTCTGTGGGGATGGGGAGGTGAACGACACGGAGCAGCCCCCAGGACGCTCATCCGGCCAGCCTCAGCCAGCAGCTCTCGGCGCACACAGAGCACTGGAGTGTGATGTCTCAGACTGCCCCTGCCCTCCCAAGCAGGGGCCCTCCCCAGAACAAGCCTGCCTGGAGGGGCTGTGAGCAACATGGGCTCCCCGTGTTTTGAGCCACACGCTAGGGCCACACCCAGACAGCTCAGGGCTGAGCTCTGGTCCCAAGTCCATCCCTTCTAGTGGTGTGACCCTGCTCCAGGGGTTGTGGGACCTACTCCATGGGGCTGCACACAGCAGGTACTTGGCGAAGGTCCAGGGCTGTTGGTGCCACGGTTAGGTCGGACCACCCTAGCTAGGCTCACTTTGGCCTGAGGGTCAGGATTGGACCCTGAGGATGTCTGTCCGTCCTGGACTTGCCTTCTTCATACCCATACTGGAAGGGGCTCTTCTCATTTTCTATGGAGGCCACCCGCTCCGCACTGCTTGGCATGAGGCAGGCCAGTGCCCCCAGGCTAGCCTTGGCTGGCAGCACCTGATCTGACCACGGTGGCCAGACATGGGCCTTTTGAGACACTCCAGTCCCTGCTGCTCTGAGTTGGGTCCCTTGGCCTGGCTCTCGCAGCCGCACTGTCCCATCCTCAGCTCCTGTCTTTGGCCACTCCGTCATCCCTCCTGGCTCGACCAGTCCCTCAAAGCCCAGCTCATGGCCACCTCCACCTGGAGGCCCCCCTGTATTGCTTCCAGCCCTGTAGGTCACTAGGTGCTCTCCTTTCCCCACTCCGCGCCCAGTGCCCGATTCCCTCACCCTCCCTGCGTGCGCCCCGTCCTCCCGACTCTCCCCTCCACCCTTGCCAGCCCTGGGCCTGCCAGCCTCACGGTGGCCACTGTTTGGCTCCTGTCTCTCCCCTCTCTCCTGAGCTCCTTGGTGCAGGAGCAGGAGGGCTGAGGGCGGGCTCGGGCCCGCTGCCTGCGTTCACATCTCTACGGCCCTCCCAGGAAACCAGCGGTGTGGACCCCCCTTCTGCAGAGGTGTCTTCCCCACGGGGCAGCTGGCTGAGCTGAGTGGACTCCTGTCTGGCACAGGGGTGTGGAGGGAAGCCTCCTCACAATGGTGACAAAGGTGACACTTCCCATCTGCATCCCCAGCCCTCAGTGCTGGGCTGGACCACAGGTGCTCACACGGGTGAGCTGTGGGGAGGCAGGGACAGCTGGATGAACTGGAGTGTGGGGTCCAGACGGCCCTATGGTGGCAGGCGGCTCGGGGCCAGTGTGGGGCAGCAGGGCCCCCAGCTCACCTTCTGGCCCCTGTCTTCGTTTAGATAGTAGTCCCGGGATGGCATGCCCAAGGTGGGCTGGTCTATCTGGAAACACAGAAGGTGTGGTCCTGGAGAAGGAGCCAGGGTCCCCGCACCCTGGCCAAGGTGGGCAGCAGCCCCCCCACCCTATGACTGTACCCAGAGGGACACGAGCTCCACCCGGAAGGCGGATGCCGGCATGTGCCTCCCTGGAAGCCCTGCTCTGGGTGACAGAGGGAGGGCCACTGGCTGGGATGGAGGGGCTGAGGGGAGCGGCGCGAGGCGGGGGGCCTGAGCGGGAGGGGCTGCCCTCAGGGCTCGCGGCGTCCTCAGCCCTGCAGGGGTGCACGCGGGTGCTTGTTGGTGGCCTGGCCAGCGGCCCGCGGCAGCCCTTCGAGGCCAGGCTTCCTGCCCGGGTGCCAGACGCCCCACGGTTCAACAGAGCCCGCCCCGGCTGCCCACGTCCCGAGCCCGGGCGGCACGTACGTAGATGATGTGCCGGCTGGAGTCCTGGTCATCGTTCCAGACGAAGAGGTCGATGAGGACGCGCCGGTTGAACCGCGTGTTCATCAGAGCCACCTGCCGCTCCAGCTCCCACGGCGGGCCTGGGGGGTCAGCGCCCGTGCTGGGAGAGCGGCCTGGTCCTGGGGCTCTCAGCCCAGCCCCTTGTCAGACAGTGAGTCCAGTCTCCTAAGCCTGGGACTCGGGCGGCGTAGGGGACCCCCACCCAGCCTAGGGTGGTGAGCTCGCTTGTGGGCCTTGGGGGCCGTGGCATGTGGGAGACACAGGGCCCTGAGTGTAGCTCTGCGTCCCTGGGGCCACCGACCATGTGCTGTGCCAGCCCAGCCCCAAGGTGGAGGCGGGCCAGAGCGCAGAGGCGGGACACACGCTCAGAGCTGGGGCCTGGGTCTGGGAGTTGAGTCCTCCTTGGGGGTCTAGGAGGGATGCCCCTCTGCAGAGCTGGATGGGACCAGCCATGGGGAGCCCCCATCATAGCTGGTCCTAACTCCCCAGTGGCTCCTGGGACCCTAAGGTTGACCCTGGCGGGGTTGGGCCTCTTGGGGCTCCCAAGAGTAGGCGGCTGGCCAGGTGGTCGGCTGTCTTGAGCCAGGTGAGTGGCCTCCCCTGGAAGACCCAGGCCCCAAAGACCCCAGGCCCAGCGTCCACCTCTGTGTTTGCAAGGCTGCTGCCAGGCCCAGCCTTACCTGTGGTCTCGTTCCACCTGTCCATGGCCACCGGCCAGCCTCCCACCACATCCAGGATGTCCAGCAGGGGCTGAGAGTCTCGCTTCTCTATTTCACCTGAGAAGCGAAGTAGCACTCATTTACCCAGACGCTTGTGGCTCCGGGGCTGTGACACAGACCCCATGGGCACGCCACATGCCAGCCTGAGCCCCCACCCTCCCATCACAGATGAGCGTCTGGGCAGCTCCTCAGCACAAGACGGCAGGCCCGGGACAGAGCCGAGAAGCACAAGAGCCCCAGGACAAAGAGGACGACAGGAAGGAGATGACAGGCCTGGGAGCCTAAGAAAGAGGAATCGTGGCCAGCAGGAGGAGAGGCTCTGCGACAGTTAGTACTGTGTCGAGACGCAGGCCTGGCTGCACTGGGAGCTCTGGGGCAGGGCGGGGATCGGCAGGAGGCCCACAAGACTTCATGCCCAGTGCGGCGGCAGACAAAAGACGAGACGCTGATGGGACGTCAGCAGCAGCTCTCCAGCGCAGTGGGGGCTGGCCAGAAACTTAGGCAAACTTCAGTCAAAAATTAAGCAAAGGTGGGAACTCAGAGGAAGCCACTGTGGAGGTGGAAGAAGACCACCTGCGTGGGAAAGTGAGGGTTCAGAGTGCACCCTTGCAAGGGTGTCGGCCACTGTCTCTTGTGTTTGGCAGACCAAGACGGGCAGGGAATGGGGGGCTTCACAGTGGAAACAGGGCTTCACCATGGTGCGCCCTGGTGGGGTCCATGGGCCTGGGAGGCTGCAGGTGGGCACCCTATGGGATGGGGCAGGGGAGCATATTTAGCTTTCCCTGCAGGTCTCAAGTTGAAAACAGGGACAAGCATCAGAAGCTGTGAGTTACGAGCCACGTCCTCTCTACCCTGGGCCAGATGTTGCAGGGCTGGCTGTCAGACGCCCTGGGCTGCTGCTGTGGGTGCTGACGCTACAGGCTGGGGGTCAGAGTTCTCGTCTTATATATGGTCTGGCTGTTGTCCCTTTGTACACTCAATCTCTTGAGCAACAATTAAGTGAAGATGGGAGCACAGAGGAAGTCGCTTTCACCTGGCGGGCACTGGCCAGACTGGATGAATTGACCTTCAGTTTCCACAGGGAGGAGGGAAACAATCCCAGGTGTGCCCAGGCATTGGGTCTCATGGAGGCCCCCCATAGAGTTGGGGTTCCAATGACATCCTCCCATCAGCCCACTAGAAACAAATCCTACCCCCAGGAGACCCACAGAAAACAACCTTCAGCTCTGCTGCTAAGTGGAGGGAGGTGGTCTCCCCAGGGCAGTGTAACCACAGGCTAGGTTTATAAACCCCCAAGCAGAGGATTTAAGGGGCTCTGCGCCAGGGGTGCCCCAAGCATGCAATTCCTTTTATAGGAACCAAAACACTGGAATTTTGCCCCACCACCCCTACACCCCTACACATGCACACAGATACATATACACATAATATACACACACACACGTGTCCACATGCACACACATAATACACATACACACACACATCCACACGCACGTGCATCCACCTGCACACACACATGTATAATACATGTACATACACACATGCATCCACACATACATACATACACACACAATACACATACATATGCACACATGCATCCACACACATCCACCTGCACACACACATACATCTATAATACACATACATATACACATGCGCCCACACATACATGCATACATGCACAACACACATACATATACACACGTGTGGAATATACTATAAAGCATATGTACTTCACAGGGCCTGGTTTTCCAAAGCCTTGCAGTTTCAAATATTGACCTTGCAAGGACAGGAAATTTTCCTCAGGCTATAAGTCTCTGTTGCAAGATAAGAATTGTGGCACAGCAGGTTGCTGGCTCAAAGACAGACTAGTTGCTGATTGTTATGTAAAGATACTGAGAAATTGCTATAAGAAGGAATGTTTGCTAAGATCAAACTGTTGTTGATAAGACCACTTAATTGCCTTACTGGAATGTCATCTGGCTTGTTTCACTGAAAGTTACCAGCCTATATTGTTAAACTATAACCCCACCTATGTCTCTTCCTGTAACTTCCCGGTCTGGAAAATAAATGCAGGAAGAGAACCCCGATTTGGTGTTAATTTCCCAAGGAAGGGCTGCCTCTCACTTGAGGGTTCTGGGGGAGATTAACCACTTTGGGGCCTCTCACTGCTCAGAAGAGATGGGCCTTGAGTAATCCTCTGCGTCTCTGTCACCCAGGGGAAGTGGGTGACAAATCCGGGTGGGGGGCGAAGCAATGCAAAGCAACAAAATGGTGCCCCGTGTGAGGACGTTCTCCACAGATTGGAGACTGACCTGCCAAGCATTAGAGAGGAATAAGACGTCTGATTCATCCTGGCAAAGGGACTCCCATCGAAGGGAAACACATCCCGGTAAGGGAATCACAGGTGGCTTTTGATTAGCGACTGCACGCCTGTGGCATGTCAAAGTTAGGCTTTTTCAACCCAGGAGATATTTTTTCATTCTCTTTACCTTTAAAATATGGATTATTCATTAGTGAAAGGGGAGACCGAACATACATTACAACTCCAATGTCTCCTTAAAGCAGCAGGCTGTAAGTAACTGAATGGCAGCTTGTAAACCGTCAGTGGATATTAAACAACCATGTCCTTGATGCCTCAAGGAAGGGAGCCTTAACATAAAAATGTGGGAACAAATTGGTCACTGGTTAATTGTGCAATGAGTCTCATTAAGGCTTCCCACCTAACAACCAGGAGTCTATGTCGAGTCTCTCTGAGACCTATCCAAGACCTTAACAAAAAACTAAGACATTTTTATGTCACCAAAAAAGGATAAAACTTAATCTTTGCCAGTGACTGAGAAAACTTTAAATTGGACAATCTAAAGTAAAAGAAGTTAACATTTCTTTACAGTGTTGGTATTTTTTGAGCATGTTTTTCTTTCTTATCTGCACGATACTTCTCTCCTCTCTTAAGAGCAGTGGTTCTTTTCTTAACTGCATGTGCTACTCTTTTTCTCTGAAGACTCTGGAGTTTTATGAAGAAAAGCAGCCATGGCCAAACAGACCCCTTTTGGGTCTCCTGCTCTTCTCCTTAAAACCTCAAGAGTCAAATGATTTCATTTCTAATTGTGGGCTCAGCTCTTGAGCTCAGTAACTCATTTGAGAAACAAAAATATAGACTAAGCTTTACCTGTTTAATTAGATGATCTCAAATTTCCTCGCATCCACTTGGTATTTTAAACAGACTTCTAAATTCTCTTTTAGTCTCATTTATGTAATTTTTTCACAAAATTTTATGGTAAAATTTTATGCTACTTTCTTAAAAGGAAGAAAATCTCTCCATCTTCTTGAAAAGGCTTGCATACTTTGCTTTACAATGTAAATTTGTTATCTTGCTTTCCTTAAGGCAGGGTGAGGCCTCACCAATAAGTCTTTTTGAAGAAAAAAAAAAAAAAAAACCGCAATCTAAACCTGACTGTCCTTTTTACTAGTAAGCTTTATTTACATCTTAAACAAAACTTATAAGATCCTTGTTTGTTCTTGTTGTTTATGTCTGCATATATGCGTGTGTAAGCTGTATGTTATGTCTATATGTCCATGTCTGTTTATGTAATTGTTTTATGTGCACGGTACCTAATTGGCTTATAATTAATGCATGCTCATTAAATAAATAAGTATACTTTTCAAGTTCATGTGACTTAAATCTTCTAAAGTTTTGTTAAATATATTTTCAAAATTTGATTCAAACCTTTTACTTAAATTTGTCTCTAGGTCAGCATGTCTCCTTGTTATCTCAGCTCTGCCTCCTGGCCATGCTGGGAGAAATAATATCTTTTAGACATAGATAGTGGATACTGCCCTCTGCCTCTCTGGATTCCACATGGCTCCAAATGCCACGTGGAAACCTGGGACCTGAAATGGCTAGTGAAAAAAAAAAGCCTATGCTGGGGCCGAGCCCTTGGCGCACTCGGGAGAGTGTGGCGCTGGGAGCGCAGCAATGCTCCCACTGTGGGTTTGGATCCTATATAGGGATGACTGGTGCGCTCACAGCACTCACTGGCTGAGCGCGGTGCGGCCAGTCTCAAAAAGGACAAAAAAAAAAAAAAAAAAAGCCTATGCCAAATATTGCATAGGCCCTAGTTAACATTAACTGATAAGGGTATAATTCTAATACACCAAGTTTTTGGCTAGGAAACCATAAATATTTATTTGGTAAAAATAGCTAAAACTCAAACTGGCCTTTGTATAATTTGCTCTGATAAATGGATGCCTATTTACTAACCTGAATGTATAAAAATGTTCTTATCAACACACATTGTTGCCTGGGTTTGCTAATCAAACAGGACTACATTTGTCTTTGCTAGAGGCTTTTAAGTTGTAAACCCTGCCCAAACCAAAAAAACTAAATACAAAAAAAACCCCCTTTATATATATAATTTTTAGGCAAATTAGGCCAATTTAACATTGACAAAAAAGAAACAAGTATGTAAAAAGGAGGTGATTTAAAGAAGTCTATGGATGTAGGGATATGGTTATGGTTGGAGGGGCTAGAGAGAAAAATAAATTTTTTTTTATGTAAGAAAGCATCTGATACAGTGTATTTTTGTCCTAGAGTAAAATGACTGGCTATTTATTTATTTATTTTTCCTTTTTGTCTTTTTTTGTGTCTGGCAACGGATCACAACCCTCAGTGTTGCGCCCGTACCGGACCGGGACCGGCAACGGGATCGCAACCCTCGGTGTTGCTCCCGCACCGCGCTCAGCCAGTGAGCGGGAACCGGTCTGTATGTGGGATCCAAACCCTCGGCGGGAGCGCCACCGCGCTTCCCAAGCGGTGCACTGTAGCAGTGCGCCACCGGGCCGGCCCATGACTGGCTATTTAGAAAGTAGGAAGTATAGGACAAAAACAGAATGTCTGAGTAAGTCTTGATAATGGTTTATATAGATAAGTTTGTTAAAAGGGTTTTACAGTAAAAAAAAAAATTAACTGGATTTAAGAACAAATTATTTGTGAATTTTTCTAAAAATTAATGTCAAAAGTATTCTAATACAGGGTTAGAATTTGCTCTCCTGTGATGGAACAACTAGATTTTCTAAAAAAAACAAAAACAAAAACAAACAAACAAAAAAACCACTTGACTGCTCTTAATACAAAATTGTAAAAGGTTTTCTTTGTCCCTTAGACAACTTGTTTAAAAAACTTATTTCATGATAAGTTCTTGTGCTCCCTGCCTTTAAAACGTTTTGTCACTTTGGTTTTATTTTTTGTAACAATTTGTGATTTTATTCAACTAAATGTTTTACACCTTTTGTTATTTAACACAGCTTTCCAACACTAAATTCTGAAACTTTAAAATAAGTTTGAGGAATTCCAAGGGCCCTGGAGTTTCTCAAAGGATATATAATAGATGTATCAGAACTAATTGGCTTATTTAATAAATTAGACTATATAGGAAAGCATTGTCAGGTCTGAAGGTGTTATGGGTCTGTGTTCCAAAATCTTGTAAGGTTCTTTAATATCTGTGTCTTGATACAAATGCTACCGGTCATAATCTTGGTTTAATTATAATTTTAAAATGTTACGTCCTCAAATATTTCATGAAAAAAACTCTGATAGGTACAGTTTTCCGACAAACTTTGAGTTCATAGCTTCAAACTAAGTTTCAAAATTTTAATGAAGAAACTGATGGGTTTGTGAAATTGTTCACAAAGGTCAAAACAACAAAAGTTAATTGGTAAATTAATTAAAAGGTATTATGGGTCTTTATCATTTCCCTATTGTAAAACACTGCTGGTTCTCCTAATGTTTTTCCAAATGTAAGAAAACTCTCTCTCTCTCTTAGGCTATCTATAACTAACAACAGTTTAGTAAAATGTCATTTAAAACAAAGATAAAAGCATTTGTTTTCTCCCTATTTGATCCCCCCCAAATTTAATAACTTTAAGTATCCTTATGATTATTATGGCAATGTGGCTATTTTTATAAGTTCAATGAAAATTAACTCTCTTTCTCTTTATAACAGGATAGAATTTAGAACTTTGGATATAAGATAGCATGTCTCATTTCCAAGTTGCTGATCTCTTTATGTTTGCTGTAAGTTTGGCCCAAACTGCTGCTTCATCCTGCTGTTCATGTTTCCCCCCGACATGGGACAGACAGATCTTCACCTGGGAAACAGCATTCCCAGCAACGTGGGACAGATCACTGAAAGAAAGTGAGCTGAGACCCTTCTCTCTATCACCACCTGGGAAAGAGCCTTCCCAACACCGAGAGATTTGTGCAACGAAAAGTAAGACCTTTTCAATCTAGATTTTGATCATCAATGCTTTTAGGAGGAATGCCTTGATCATAAAGGGGGAAATAACATCTTCTCTACAAAAGCAGTTCTCTAAATTTTCTTGGCCTTAAATAGGGTGTTTGCAACTTGGATGAGACATCCTGTTCTTAAGCAAAAGACTTGTAATTGATCAAAAATTTTACAAAAGACCAGACACTCTGAAAACAGTAATGTCCTGGACAGTTTTAACACTAACAAACTCTCTGGACTCAGAATCAAGTATTATACAGAGCAGAATCCCTTTCCAGGAGTTTCAACAATTGGTAATTACACCCAATCCCCAGCACCTGGAGTGATGCAGCTGCAGCCCTGAGATGATGACATCACCAGTCCTCACCTAAAGTAAATTAAAAGGACTTGCCATGCTAAATGATACCAACTTTGGTTTAACAAAATGCTTTTTGTCTTAACTGTGCCAATCTGATCTATAGTTTTGCTTTTCTTTTAAATAAATAAAACGGGGGAGATGTGGAATATACTACAAAGCATATGTACTTCACAGGGCCTGGTTTTCCAAAGCCTTGCAGTTTCAAATATTGACCATGCAAGGACAGGAAATAAGTCTCTGTTGCAAGGTAAGAATTGTGACACAGCAGGTTGCTGGCTCAAAGACAGACTAGTTACTGATTGTTATGTAAAGATACAGAGAAAATGCTGTAAGAAGGAATGTTTGCAAAGATCAAGCTTGTGTTGATAAGATCACTTAATCCTCTACTGGAATGTCATCTGGCTTCACTGAAAGTTACCAGCCTATATTGTTAAACTATAACCTCACCTTTGTTCTCTTCCTGTAACTTCCTGGTCTGGAAAATAAATGCAGGAAGAGAACCATTCCACGTTAATTTCCCAAGGAAGGGCTGCCTCTCACTGTAGAGTGCCTGGGAAGTTAACCTCTTCAGGGCTTCTCACTGCTCAGAAGAGATGGGCTTTGAGTAATCCTTTGCATCTCTGTCACCCAGGGGAAGTGGGGTGACAAATCCATGGGGGGTGAAGCAATGCAAAGCAACACACATGCATCCACACACATACACGTGCACATACATACATGTATAATACACATACACATGTATCCATACATGCAATACACATACATATACACACGCACATCCACATGCACATGCATCCACACACATAGACCTGCACCCACACATGGATGTGTAATAATGTACATATACACATGCACACACACATACATATACACATGCATCCACACATACAGACACACAATACACATACATATACACACATGCATCCACATGCATATGAATACACACATGAGTACATACACATGCATACGAATACACATACACATGCATCCACATACATCCACACACCGGCCAGCCCCCACCCGCCACTCACTCTCGTTCATGCAGGAGCGGTACAGCATCTTGGCCTTCTCCACGGCCGGCCGGTCCTTGGTGGTGGAATTCTCCAGCACCGCTGTGAGCACAAGAGCATGCTGGACAGAGGCCTGAGGCGGCTGCTGGGGGTCCAGGTCAAAGGCCCTATGCCTCCCTGCAGCACTGGGGGAGAGGTGGTCCCTCCCTAGCTGCTGGGCCTTTACCACCTCTCCTCTGTGCCACTGGACAGTGGAGGGAGCAGAGCCTGAAAGGGACTCAGCCAGGGCGAGGCCTGGCCACCCCCAACTCCTGGCCTCAGGCTGTCCCCACTGGGGCAGGCACCAGCCTCACCCCGCTACACCCCCTGAGGCCGCGGCTGCTGTCCACCTTTGAGGATGACCTCCAGCTTGTCTCGAAGGATGTCAAAGACGCTGTACCGGGAGTTGGTCTCGGGGATCACGTGGCTCTGCAGCCAGCCTCCACACGCATACTGGTAGAAGTCATCACATGGCTCCTCGGCAGGGTCCATGTTCTGGAGGATCCGGGCAGCTGCTTGTCCCCAGACGGTGCAGGAGGAAAAGGGGAGACTGAGCTGTGGGCAGCCCCAAAGCCTGTCTCTTGGCCCAAGAGACAGTCTCGACACTTGGGGATGGGCTGTTGGAGATTCCGTCATGGCTGTGTGCCCTGGGAGAGTTAATCACCCACTCTGAACTGCAGTGAGGTTAGAAGCATGGGGGGAGTCAGCCAGTCTGGATTCAAGTGCCAGGGCTACCACTTATTAGCCACGTGACCTTGAACCCTTGCGGCCTCTCCCAGCTGTAAATCCGTGGACACCAGCAGTCCAACTTGAGGGCTGAGGAGACGGGCCGAAGCGGTGCCCGGTTCATAGCAAGTGCCGAGCTGGAGGCCCTGCCCTGGGAGCTGGCATCCAGCTCCCGGCCGGTTAGCCCTTTCCTCACCAGTGTGCTTGGTCCCTGTGGGGAGGGGGCTACTCTTACCCACCATAGGGGGCTTGTTTTCTGTTAGAGCATATGGCTTTGCTCCTGCAACCCAGAGTGTGCAGGGTACGGGGCCCCTAAGGTTTCTGGCTGAATGCTCTCAGCTGGGGTGGCTGGAGTGGACCCTCCACCCAGGACCCTCCCTCAAATTCTGTCCTACTTGGTCTGGGCCTAAGCCACCTTTGCAGCGGGGGACCTCGGAGCAAGCATCACGCGGGCCTCAGGACCCCAGCATGAGCAGAAAGTACACATTTCTGAGCTCCTCCACGAGGGCTTCTTCCACCATTCTCACCGTTTTTGTTATCTGCAAACAGCAGTCTCTGGCCCCCAATTTTAAGACAAACGCCTGGGAGAAAGCTTAATCTTTAAACGTCTGCTCACTAGACCTTTCCTTCTGCAAACGCAGACAAGAACGGTCCGGACCAGCGCAGGCGCAGGGCACAGCGGCAGGAGGCCGGTGGGGTCGCAGGGGTGCGAGACGCTTCTCGGGGCTGCTGCCCTCAGCCCACAGGCGGGGCCTGTGCCAGCATCAGCACGTCCCCAGGGCTGTGGAAGGCACGGGGGAGTGGGCTTTACCTGCCATGACGCAGCCGGGGGTGGTGCACACGTCCTCCGGCTCCCCGGACTCTTGGACCGCTGCGGGCAAGGGGCCGCGTGAGCATTGGTGGCGGGGTGGGCGGGGCGTGTCCAGGCGGGAGGGGCGGGGCGTGTCCCGGTGGGTGGGCGGGGCATAGCGTTGGTGTGCAGGGCCGGGCCTCAGCCCCTCTGCCAGCCCCCCTGGGCGGCCTAGCCTGGGGCCCCGAGGGCAGGTGTGGAGGGCAGCCCGAGTCCTTCCCAGGTGGCCCAGGCCCGCGAGGGCGGAGCCGGCCCTGTCCTCCTGCGTTTCTCCGGCCGGCTCTCACCCCGGCAGGGCCCAGCTCCTTGAGCCTGAGCTGCCCCTCTCCGCGCACCCCTGACCCCCGCCAGCGCCCCGCGAGCCCCCGCACCCACCGGACGGACGCCCTCCCCCCGGCGTCCCCCGCGAGGGCGGAGCCGGCCCTGTCCTCCTGCGTTTCTCCGGCCGGCTCTCACCCCGGCAGGGCCCAGCTCCTTGAGCCTGAGCTGCCCCTCTCCGCGCACCCCTGACCCCCGCCAGCGCCCCGCGAGCCCCCGCACCCAGCGGACGGTCGCCCTCCCCCCGGCGTCCTGCACCGTCCTCTCTTCCCCACGCCCGTCCTGCGCACGTGGTGGGCGCACGGGCCACCCAGGTTCCCGAGCTCGCCTGCCCCGGCCGCGTTTTGGGAGGGAAGGCAACGGCTACCTCGGGGTCTGCGCTGTACAAGGGTCCTCTCTTCCTGTGAGGAGCGTGGCGGCCCAGGAGAGGGTGACAGCCGCTTCCCTGGGGAGAAACACGGCTCTCAGCCCGCGGGGCCCCTGGCGCCCTCGGGTTTCCTGCAGTGCCGGGTGCTGCAGCCCCAGTCCCATAGCGAGGGCCGGTCGCCAGGGAAGCAGGACGCAGAGACCCGCAGAACGGAGCCGTCCACGCTGTTTCCTGCTGGGCCTGGGCAGGGGGTAGGGGGTTCCCCTGGCTTGCTAACCCCACCCTCCAGCCCCACCCCTGCCAGGGCCTAGAGGGTTCCTGAGGTGGGACCCCCCTTCTACCTCAGGATCTCCCCGAACAGCAGGGTCATGGGCCAGACCCACACGAGGTGGGCTGCTCCTGGGGTCCCGCCGGGGCGGGAGCAATAGACTTATTTAGGGGGAAAGGAGGCCCTGTGGAGGGGGGAGACTTTTCCCTCATCGGTGACCCTTGTCTCCTGACCCTCCACCCTCACTGTCTGCTGGAGGTGCAAGGTCACCTCCCTCTATCCCTCCACTACATACATGCCAGGGAGGGGGCTGCCTGGTCAGTGTCCGGGTCTTCAGGGTCGGGCTGTAAACCGCCTGCAGGGGTGGTGGGGGAGGAGGGGCTACCTCCGGCCCAGGGAGAGGGCAAGCCGGGCCGGCTGCCTTCAGACCTGGCTTGTGCTGGATTTCCCCACCAGTGGGGCACACAGAGACCTGGTGGGGAGGAGGGAGCAGGGGCTTGTTCAGGTCAGGGCAGAGAAAGTGCTGGAAGCCATGAAAATATTGGGTGCTCCTTGGGGGCCTGGCCATTAGAAGGGCCATTCATCCAACACTTGATGATTGTCACCAGCCAGACCCCGTGCTGGGCATGGGAGTTCCTGTGTGAGTCTGACACAGGCTGTGCCCTCAGGGAGCCCCCAGTCTGGTGGAAACACGAGGAAAGTTCTGCATGACACGCACACAGAGGCGTGTCCAGGCGGGAGGGCACAGCCTCTGTCAGGCGGGAGTGGGTAAAGGCAGACCTGAGCTTCAGAGAAAATGAGGACAATCCCACAGGCCAGAAACGGAAATGAGGTGGCAGGTGGGTGCTGGGGTCACGCCTGCCCCACGGGAGCTTGTGATCTCAGGAGCCCAGAGCCTTGAGAGAAGATGCTCGACCTCAGTCTTCCTAGGTCCACACCCTCAGCAAAAGAGTGGACTAAAAGGACGGCTGAACTCCAGCCAAAGAGGTGACAAGGAAGCAGTGGGGGTTTTGCTTGATTAGGATGCTTATAAAGTCAAGAGAGACGGTGGCTCCCACCCTAACATGGAGAACGAGCTGGAGAAGCTACCACATGAGTGTCTTTAGAAACTCACCGGAGAGCTGAGGACACAAAGCAGCCTGAACTAACCAGATTCCAGAATGGAAGAGACTCTCCCTCTGGAGCCAGGGTGCAGAAGTTTGAGGAACTAGTCTCCTGCACCTGTATGGGGGCCATGCGAGGGATCAGGATTCTGAGGAGCTGGAGTCACAGAGTCTGCACCCACCTGCCGATCTTCCTCATGGCACCTTCACCAAGTGCATGGTAGTTAGGCTGAAGGTGGTGGCGGGGCAGGAGGGTTGAGGAACCCTCCTGCACGAATAATCAGGCCAATGTGACCCATAATCAAGGGAAAAAACCGAGAACAGTCAGAAGTGGACTCATAGATGAGCCAGATATCAGAGCTAGCAGACAGTCTTCATAGTGACTATGGTAATTAAGTAAGAGGGTCTTGTGGGAAAGACGGAACACATAGGTGGTGGATTTCACTAGATAAATGGAAACTACAGAACTGAGCAGAAATGTGATACAAGAAGCAAAGAATTCGTTTTATAGGGTTGACAGTGCACTGCACATTGCAAAAGAAAGAACCGGTGTTTATACATAGGTCAGTGTAAATTACCCAAATTGAAACACAAAGGAGAAATAATTAAAAACTGAGCAGAGGGAAAAACGAAGAGTTAACATCACAGGTAATGGTGAGAAACTGGATATTTTCACCTAAGATCAGGAACAAGGCAAGGATTTCTTCTTCTACCACTCCTATTCAACACTGTACTGAAAGTTCTACTAGATCAGTGACAGGAGAAAAGGAAATAAAAGGCATACAGACAGGAAAGGAAGAAATAAAACTGTCTCTGTTTGCAAATAACATGATCATCTATATAGACAATCCCAAAGAATCAACCAAAAAACTCCTAGAACTAATAAGAGATCATAGCAAAGTCACTGGATACAAGGTAAATATACAAAGGTCAATTGCTTTCCTATATACCAGCACTGAACGACTGGAATTTGAAATTGTGGAAACGATACCATGTACGACAGCACCTAAAAATTGAAAATGTTCGTTGTAAATCTAACACAATATGTATTATGTGTTATATGTGAACATATATGTGGGACATTATATATGGGACATATATGTGGAAAACTGCAAAGCACTAATGAAACAGCAATCACATATTTAAATAAATGGAGATATATTCTGTGTTTATGAGTTGAAGAAATCAATATTATTAAGACGTCAATTCCTCCCAACTTGATCTATAGATTCAGCACAATCCAGTCAAAATTCTAGCAAGCCCTTTTGCAGATATTGACAAGGTAATTTTAAAGTTTGCATGGAAAGACAAAAGGTCCAGGATAGCCAACACAATACTGAAGAAAAATGAAATGGGGGGCCGGCACGGTGGCGCACTGCTGCAGTGCACCGCTTGGGAGTGTGGCGGCGCTCCCGCCGAGGGTTTGGATCCCGCGTACAGACTGGCCGCTCACTGGCTGAGCGAGGTGCGGGCGCAACACCGAGGGTTGCGATCCCGTTGCCGGTCCCGGTCCAGTGCGGGCGCGACACTGAGGGTTGCGATCCGTTGCCGGTCAGGAAAAAAGACAAAAAAAGGGGAAAAAAAAAAAGAAAAATGAAATGGGAATAATCACACTGCTCGGTTTCAGGATGTAGCATAAAGCTACAAGTAATCAAGATAGCGTAGTATTGGCAAAAGAAGAGACACATAGAGACACAGATCAATGGAACAGAATAGAAATCTCAGAAATGCGCCACACAAATATATAGCCAACTGATCTTTGACAAGGCATTTAGGAGAAAGGCCAGTATTTTCAATAAACAGTACTGGAACAATCGGACATCTATATACAAAGACAAAACAAAACAAACAAACAGAAAACAAAAACTCTAGAAACAGAACTTACATCTTACAAAACAATTAACTCAAAATGAACTGCAGACATGAACATAAAATGCAAAACTATGAAAAGTCTTGAAAAAAACATAGAAGAGAATGTACATGACCTTGGGTTTGGTGATGACTTTTAAGATACAACACAAATAGCATGATCCATGAAAGAAAAAATTGATGTCAGACATTATTAAAATTTAAAACGTCTGCTCTGTGAAAGACTCGTTAAGAGAATAAAAAGATGAACTACAAACTGGGAAAAAATATTTGCAAGACATAGATCGCATAGAACACTTTTATCCAAAAATGTACAAAGAACTCTTAAACTCAACAATAAGAAAACAAACAACCCAATTAAAAAAAGTCAAAAAATCTGAAAAGACACCTCACCAAAGAAAATACGCAGTTGGAAAATAAGCACATGAAAAGATGCTTAACATCATTTCTTATTATAATATTTTGAGTTAAAACAACAATGAGATACCACTGTATGCCTATTAGAATGGTTAAATTAAACTGATGATACGATTACTGGCCAGGATACAACCGGAACTTTCCTTCATTGCTTTTAGGAATGCAGAATGGTACAGTCACCTTGAAAGACAGTTCGGTGGTTTGGTGGTTTTTTTTTTTTTTTTTTTTTTTTTTTTTTTTTTTAGTCTTTTTCTGTGTGGGGCTGACCAGTAGGGCGATCCAAACCTGTGACCTTGGTGTTATAAGGCTGCATTCTAACCAACTGAGCTAACCAACCAGCCCCATTAAGTTATTCTTTCAATTAGAACTCATTGCAGATTTCTATCTTGATCTCAAACTGGGACCCCTTGGTGCTGTGTAGTCACGCTTACAGGATTTACTAGGTTTGGGTTGGGATGAGGGTGCCTGCAGTTATTAAGGCCAAGGTAGCAAAGGAGGGCACATCTGAATTCTCAAGGCCTAAAATGTCCTGTTATTCCCCTTTCTGGGGAGAAGCAAGATGCAATATCGCCTGGTGCTACCCTGTCTGTCCCATGGACTCTTCAAAGCAGATCTGAACCCAGACGTCTGGGGAATGGCTCACAGCACTCAGAAACGTAAGCAACCTGGGCTTAAAAGAATCCGGTATGTGCTGAGTTCCAGAATTCTGTGGAACACAGATATGAATCTAAAATAGGTGGCAACTGTGATCACTAGGTGGGAAATGGACGTAAACAAGTAGTCTCCCAAGTAGCGGCCCAGCTCTGACTCTAGATTGTGGCCAAGAGATGCAGAATTCCAGCTCTTGACCAGCAAAGACTTTTCATTCATGAAGTGAATACATTTCCAAGGGAAGGAAAGAGAGCTTTACATTTTTCCCTGCATCTCCAGATGTGGCCACATAATTTAAGTCTCAGGTTTTGTGTCTTCTCCTTTGTTTATCTGAGCTTTTTTCAAAATTTTATTTTTTGTTTCCCAGATGTAATAGTGCTGGCTCTCTCTGCATCTCTTTGGCTCTACTGGTCTTTTTCCAGTGCTTCAAATTCAGCAGGTAGAGACAAATCATATCTCTGGTAAAACAATTACTTCCCTCTAAGGGAAGGTTTGGTGGTACATGGATGAGATCTTAAGATTGTTGTCTGTATTCTCTCTTTGATAATATGTGCTATAAATATGCAACCACAAACAAATTTAAATTATACATTAGATTAGTAGTTTGACTGTATTTTATGTTACATCAAAAATAAGTTTACTTTCACTTCTTCACCTTATTAACTCAAAACAGCTAATAATTATCAGGCATGTTTTTCTTAAATATTTATAAGAATTTTTTATATGCCATAAAATGTGGTATTTATATTTTTCTTTTTGTTTTGCAGGTGTAAAGGGTCAAGTTTTTGATCAGAATAGAAATCCATTACCCAATGTAATTATAGAAGTCCAAGACAGAAAACATATCTGCCCCTACAGAACTAACAAATTTGGAGAGTATTATCTCCTTCTCTTGCCTGGGTCCTATATAATAAATGTAAGTATGCAACCCTAGTTATTGCTATTAAAATATTATAGAACTCACAGTACTCACTCACCCAGAGGAATCTAAAAAACGTCCTGAAAGTCCAAAAGTAGATACTTCAGGATGGAAGGAAAGGACAACATCAGACTTGCAATTGGCGGGGGTGGGGTGGGGGAGGTGGGAATGAAAGGAACAAACCAGAAAAATTCATGTTGTTTCCCCTCCAGCAATTTTTTTTAATAGGAGCAAAATCCTATTTCTTATATCTTTTATGATTAAAAAAATGCAACCTTATTAATAATTAAGCAAGGTAAGAAAAGTCCTTCCCAGTTGCATGGAATACCATTTAACACCTATTCCATTAAACATAATTTCTGCTATTAAAAAATAGATTGGCAAGGCAGGAACTTTGGCATTAAAGTAATCTCCATGCAAGATTATTATTTGTTAGAATGAGCTGAACCCTGGTCTTCTAACACATGAGCAGGACTCTTTTCACTTCACAGGAGGCTAAACCTAGATCTCAAAGCCAGATCTATCTCTGCTTCTATAAGAGAATAAAGCAGGTTATAAAAAGTATGCTTAAGGATATAATATTATGTACTCCATATGATCTCAACCATTAAAACAAAGTACAGAATAAAGACTGGAGAAAAGATGGCAAGCAGTTTTGGCAAAATATCAGAGTGTTTGCCACTGAAGGGATTGTGGGTGACTCTGCTTTTTTGTAATAATTCTCTGTACTTTCCAAATGTCCTATATTGCCGTTCTGCTTTGATAATTAGAGGAAAAGTAGAAAACCAAAATAATTCCAATAAAAATTGAGATTTGCTTTAAAAAAAATTGATTGGGACAAGGTTTTTAGAATTCATTATAAGTGAAATTTGATCCACAAATTTTACTGCTGTATTAAACAAGTGATAGACATGTTTTGCAGCCCTTTTTCCAATCAATACAGGTAAATTTTCTGATTTTAATTCTATTAAGATGCGGCTTAAAAGAATCCGGTATGTGCTGAGTTCCAGAATTCTGTGGAACACAGATATGAATCTAAAATAGGTGGCAACTGTGATCACTAGGTGGGAAATGGACGTAAACAAGTAGTCTCCCAAGTAGCGGCCCAGCTCTGACTCTAGATTGTGGCCAAGAGATGCAGAATTCCAGCTCTTGACCAGCAAAGACTTTTCATTCATGAAGTGAATACATTTCCAAGGGAAGGAAAGAGAGCTTTACATTTTTCCCTGCATCTCCAGATGTGGCCACATAATTTAAGTCTCAGGTTTTGTGTCTTCTCCTTTGTTTATCTGAGCTTTTTTCAAAATTTTATTTTTTGTTTCCCAGATGTAATAGTGCTGGCTCTCTCTGCATCTCTTTGGCTCTACTGGTCTTTTTCCAGTGCTTCAAATTCAGCAGGTAGAGACAAATCATATCTCTGGTAAAACAATTACTTCCCTCTAAGGGAAGGTTTGGTGGTACATGGATGAGATCTTAAGATTGTTGTCTGTATTCTCTCTTTGATAATATGTGCTATAAATATGCAACCACAAACAAATTTAAATTATACATTAGATTAGTAGTTTGACTGTATTTTATGTTACATCAAAAATAAGTTTACTTTCACTTCTTCACCTTATTAACTCAAAACAGCTAATAATTATCAGGCATGTTTTTCTTAAATATTTATAAGAATTTTTTATATGCCATAAAATGTGGTATTTATATTTTTCTTTTTGTTTTGCAGGTGTAAAGGGTCAAGTTTTTGATCAGAATAGAAATCCATTACCCAATGTAATTATAGAAGTCCAAGACAGAAAACATATCTGCCCCTACAGAACTAACAAATTTGGAGAGTATTATCTCCTTCTCTTGCCTGGGTCCTATATAATAAATGTAAGTATGCAACCCTAGTTATTGCTATTAAAATATTATAGAACTCACAGTACTCACTCACCCAGAGGAATCTAAAAAACGTCCTGAAAGTCCAAAAGTAGATACTTCAGGATGGAAGGAAAGGACAACATCAGACTTGCAATTGGCGGGGGTGGGGTGGGGGAGGTGGGAATGAAAGGAACAAACCAGAAAAATTCATGTTGTTTCCCCTCCAGCAATTTTTTTTAATAGGAGCAAAATCCTATTTCTTATATCTTTTATGATTAAAAAAATGCAACCTTATTAATAATTAAGCAAGGTAAGAAAAGTCCTTCCCAGTTGCATGGAATACCATTTAACACCTATTCCATTAAACATAATTTCTGCTATTAAAAAATAGATTGGCAAGGCAGGAACTTTGGCATTAAAGTAATCTCCATGCAAGATTATTATTTGTTAGAATGAGCTGAACCCTGGTCTTCTAACACATGAGCAGGACTCTTTTCACTTCACAGGAGGCTGGGGGGTTGGGTGGGAGGCAGCTGGGAGGCGACCAGGTCTTCTTGGTGCCCAGGTGCCCTGACCTGAGAGGGGGGCAGTCCTGGCTCCTCCATGTTGGCCTTTGCTGGGGAGAGCAAGGCAGGGGACTGGGGGTGAGGGGGCTTGTTCCTGGGACAGCCCAGGGTCTACCTGGAGGGCAGCCCTGGCTATGCCTTTATCTTGATGGGACCCCAAGCCTTTCTCAGCAGCCACCTGGTGACTGAGGCCTCCACGGGGTGGGAGTGGTGAGGGGGAGGATCCTGGCAGATCCTTTCTTGCTGTGCGGCGGTGAGGGAGGTGGCCAGGTGAGACCAGCCAGGCGGGAGGGACATTGTGGCTGGCGGGTCCCCAGCTCAGGAGCATGGGCTCCTGCTGCTGGGCTGGCCAGGAACTACAGCCGCACCCTGCCCTGGGGCTGAGCTGCTGAGGCGAGGCCAGGGAGGGGGCTGGGCTGATGGGGTGGGGGTCTGGCCTGCAGCATCTCAGGAGTCCTGCAGAGGCACAGGTGAGGCGGATGGGTGCAGAGCCCGCAGAGGCAGCTGTGTCAGCCTGAGCCCAGGACAGAGCTTTCTGGAAGGGGCCGCCAGCTCCCTGCAGGTCAGTGTCCCTTCTGCAACCTCTCTGGGGTCTGCAGCATGGCCCTGGGAGCCTTGGGTGCCCCTTGCAGACTGCCTGCCCATCCCAGGGGCACACAGGCCCCTCAGCAGGTGGGGATGGGGCGAGCAGCTGCGAGCAGGTACAGGGGTGCCAGCAGGGGGCCCTTGCTCACCTCTGCTGTCTGTGTAGAGGACGCCCAGGGCCACCAGGGCACTGGTCACCAGCAGCAGCAGCAGCAGCAGCAGCCCCCACTCCAGGAAGCCCCGGTGTTTCAGCTCAGACCAGCCGGCTCTCTCCTCCATGCCCGCTGCGCTTTCCGACTTCCCCATCAGCCAGGCTCTGGACGGGAAAGCGCGCGGCTGAGCCACCCGCAGGCCAGGGGCAGGGTGGAGGTGCGTGGAGCTCTGAGGTCCTGCCCGAGGCTGGAAGGGTCAGACAGTGGCTGGTAGCAGCCGAGTGCTTTGGGATGCTGAGCCCCCATCTCCATCTTCAAGCCCACACTCCGGCCCTGGGTGCCTGGTCTCAGGGCTCTAGACACCACCCCTGGGCTAGTGTCTGGGAGTGCTGGGGGAGTGCCCCGTGGTGGGAGGAGGCCTCTTCTCGAGGTCAGCTTCTCTCCAAGCCCTGGCAGGCAGGGGATGGTCATGAGACCCTTCTGCTCACATCTTGGGGTCAGCATGGGACCCAGGAGGCTCAGCTCCTGGGCTGCTGAGGGCCTCTGCAGGGGAGCCTGCCTGAGCTGCAGGCCTGGGCGCTGGGTCAAGGACACTGTTGGGGAGGCAGCTCAGGCTGCCTGACTTTCCATTGGAGTCCAGGAGACAGGAATGATCGACGCCCATGCAGGTGGTGACCATGCAGGCCAGAAAGGGACCTGCAGGGCCAGGTAGCCTTGAGACTTGGCTCTGGCAGCCACTGGCTGGTGTACAGCTCTGGTCATCTCTCCACCTTGTCACTGCAGAGAGGACACCTTCTCAAGCCAGCCAGGCAGCAGGTAGCAGAGGAGGACACACAGGGCTGGGGACAGGCTGTTGCTGTCGCCAGAATAGTGAGCTGGGCAGGGAGGGCTGGAGGACAGTGATGGCAGACTCTGAAGGCTCCTGGGTACGTGTGAGTACATGTGTGTGAGTGTGAGCATGCATGTGTCAGTGTATACATGTGTGCATGTGAGTGTATGTGAATATATGTGCCTGTGCTCCTGTGTGTGCATGTGAATGAGTGTGAGTGTATGTGCATGGCATTCATTGTGTGAGTGTGCACGTCTGTGTGTGTGTGTGAGGGTGCATGTGGATGCTGTGTGTGTGCATGTGAATGAGTGTGAGTGTATGTGCATGGCATTCATTGTGTGAGTGTGCACGGCTGTGTGTGTGTGTGAGGGTGCATGTGTATGCATGTGTGCACACATGTGTATGCGCATGTGTGTGCACGTGTGAGGGTGCATGTGTATGCTGTACGTGAGTGTGCATGTATATTCCTGTGTGTGTATGCATATGTGTGCATGTGCATGAGTGTGAGGGTGCATGTGTATGCTGTGTGTGTGCATGTGACTGTGCACATGTGTGAGGGTGCATGTGTGAGTGCATGTGTATGCTGTGAGTGTGCATGAAAGTGTACATGTGTGTAATGCATGTGGGTGTCAGAGTGTGTGCATGTGCTCTTGTGTGTGCAGGTGTATGAATATGCATGCAAGTGTGCATGTATGTGAGCATGCACATGTGTGAGTGCACGTGTATGCTGTGTGTGTGCATCCCTCGCTGGCACTCACAACACTGTCCCCGGAGGCTGCCCGGGCACTTGGGGAAACAGCTTGTTGCTCCCCTACAGTTTGGACTTTCAGTCATCAGCCACAACTGCACACCTGCTGTGTGGAGCTCTCAGGCAGGGCAGAGAGTTTGGGAGAAGCCAGAGAAAGACGGACCCCAGTCCTGCTTTTGGGCAGGTGAGTGTCCAGCTGCTGAGGCCAACTGGAGGCTGGACCCCCTGGGCTCCACGTGAGTTCTGGCCCAGACTCACTGGGGGGGTCTTAGACATGTCTCTTAACCTGTCTGGGCATCACCTGCCCAGTGGCCCAACTTAGGGGTGGGGGGACTTAGAAAGCACCGGGCAGGTCCCTTACAAAGGCAGCACAGCCAGCTAGTGTCTTCGTCTTCTTGACGGGGGGCGGGATCTGGCCTCGCTCCTGGCCCCCTAGCCCCAGCTGCCTCCTCAGTCTCTGAGTTCCTGCTGGGGCCTCCCCTGATCACAGATCTAGTGCTCACCTGGCACCTCATCTCCACTGGGATATACTGGGAACCTCGGCTGTGCTTGGGTGCCCTTCACACCCTCAGAAGGTTCCTCTTGCTGTCCCCTAGGGAATTCCATCCTCCCAGCTGCTGAAACTGAACCGTGGAGTCCTCCTTGACCCTGGCTGGACTCATGCCCCATCCAATCCTCAGCTTCCACTCACCTGCTCCAGACCCCGTCACCTCCCCCGTGCTGTGACAAGAACCTCCTGCGGGGTCTGTCTCCCCATCTATCCCAAGGGCTCCCTTAACTGTGAAGTCAAGGGGTGTCACGCCCACCCCATGTGCCCATCCCCCTGGAGTAGGAGCCGGCCCTCGCTCTGATCTTAGGACCCTCTCTGGCCCCATCACCTCTTATCGCGTCCCCTACTGTCATCCCCTGCCCCCACCCTCAGGCCGGCCCCTCCTAGGAGCCCCCTTTGTCAGGACCCTCTTCTCCTAGATGCCCGCCAAGGTCACCTTCCCAGTGGGGCCTTCCCCAACCTGGCCTCCAGGTTCAGCCTTCCCCCAGCCCGTCCCCTGCTCTGCGTCTCGCCCCTGCTGCAAGGTTCAACATCTGCATCCCAAATTTCTATTGTCCCCACGTAAATGTCAGCTCCCGGGGGAGGGGGCTCCATCTTTCAGAGTCACTGCCCCTGGACTAGCGCCCCCCACCCCGGACGCATTGACCAACATCTGTTGAATGAATGAACGAATGAGCCAATCGCGTTGCACGAGTCTGAACCTCGGCCTAGTGCTTGTAGCTCGGGTTTCACCAGCTCGTGACCTTGATCACAATCAAGCGATGCGCTCAGGCATTCTGGGAGGTCGCTTCATTCTGCCCACACCCTTCCCTGGACTGGATGTGCCGAAAGGTGCACACACAGTGAAAACTTTCACCCGAGCCATGTGGCCCGGGGGCCAGTGTGGAATATCGTGCTGGAGAAGAGGCAGAGGCGGCCTCTCCAGGTTGTTATGGGGGAACCTGCCGGGGGTGGGAGGGCTGCTCCAGTGGCCCAGTGTGACGTGGGCTGGGCGCTCGGAGGGTGTTTTCAAGGCACTGCCCAGGAAAGCTGTCCTGGTGGGTCCCTCACTCAGTAGACTCACCTTCTGACCACTCAGGAGCAGCTGGTCCCTGAAGGCTGGCAGGATGGTCAAGGGCTGGGGTGAGCTGGGCGAAGCGTGTGGGCTTCTGGGAACAAGAGAACAGAGGCTTCAGGTGGGGCCCAGCACCCCGGCTTCCAGGCCTCCTTTGTGATGCAGGCGTGGGCTCCCTGGAGGCGGTGATTCCTGCTCAGTCAGGGAGTTCCATGGGGGTTTGGTGCGAGGGTAGGGGGCAGAGGGCAGCTCCTGGGCACTTGGGGTACCCTGCTGAGTGGGTGCCCCTTCCCAGGGCCTCTGGCCTCTGCATCCCAACCCCCTCTCCTCCCTTGTTTCCATCTCTTGACCCCTCAGTCCAGAGGCTGCTGGGAAGGAAGGCCAGGTCTTTCTGCCCACCCTGCCCACCTGGTGGGACAGACGTTGGCCACAGCATCTCTGCCCTAACCACCCCTGAGGGGTTTGCAAAGGCCCCACCCTGGGCATCTGTCCCCTTCAATCTCCAACGAGGGAGGTGGCTTCTGGGGGCCTTGCCAGAGTGTAAGGGGAGGGGGTGGCCTATGCTCATCATGATGGGGGCACAGCAGGGCTGCCAGGAAGGGTCTAACTGGAGACACTAGTGTGGGGCTTGGCTGCTTCCCTCTGCCCATGGAGAACAGACCCCAACCCCCAGGGGCAGGCAGTCTTGGCTGGGGACCCATCCTCCAGTGCTTCAGCATGTGAACCAGGCACCCTGGCCCTGCTTGCTGATGGGCCTCGGGGGCTCTGAGCAGAGCACATGCCAGCGGGAACCCAGGCTTCTGATTCTCCAGGTCTACCTTGGTGACTAGCTTCTGTTTCAGAATCCTGTGGGATGAGTCCTGCCCCGTCCTCCTGCCCTGCCCTGGGACTCTGCAAGGCATCCGGGTGGGGCTGGGCAACCGAACCTCATGACCACCCCTCACCAGAACACCCATGCTGCGTGCTGTTGGAAGCTTCTGGCCCATACCCTGGGAGGAAGGCAACCTCCAGCTGCAGCAGGGCTGGGGCTACAGCCCTGGGGAGTCTCCAGAGCCCTTCAGAGCCTGTCTGCACAACACCCCTGATGCTAAGCAGGCCCCTTTTGGATCTCACGAGGCCTCCAAGGCACAAAGCCGAGGGAGAAAAACAGACACAAGGGTCCTGTCTACTCTCTACAGGGGCCCTCTGCACCTTGAGCCCCTCAGGGCCAGCCCTGCACATCTCCCTCCTTCTCGCACCCCAGGCTTGTCCCCGTGCTCAGCCCAGCCAGAGCACCCCCAGGCAGACCTGGGCCCAGCTGGCGACCTGGAACCCAAAGGCTGGCCTCTTCCTAAACTCTCTCCCCATTTAGGTGTGAGCAGGAGGCCTAAGGCTCTGGCGTGGCACCTGCCAACTAAGAAAAGCAGGAAATGGGGTCCACAGGCCGAGGAGGCTGCAGACCCCAGCCCCAGCACTGACTCGCAGACACCCATGGCCGTGCCCAGCAGCACATGTGAACACACACACAGACCGTCCACTGCTGGAGCCCAGCACACCCCTGGAGGGGGATTTTAACCCTTTCTAGGTGCGTTCTCTGGGCCCCTCCATGGCAGGAACCGGTCCTCTCCCTTGGGTTTTCCCAGCCATGCTTACTCCGGGGAGGCAAAGACAAAGGGCTAGAAGAGGTTAAAGGACATTTCCGAGGTGCTCAGGGTGCTGGATGAGAGCCAGGCCTCCAGGAGTGTGCTCACCCCCCTTGCCAGCTGTCTCCTGAAGTCAGGCCATGTGCTGGGCAGGAGGGAAGGGCCGGGGGTCCAGCTCCACCCAGGTCTCTGTCACTGGGCCACCAGCCTGGCCCCAACAGCTGGAGCCTCCGTCTGCTCACCACAGAAGGACTTTTGTATGTTTGTCATAGAGTCAAACGAGAGGGGACGTATGCACAACACCAGGCACGAAGGTGCTGGCAAGATGTACCTGGAAGGGGACGGGGCATGTGGGGAGGAATGTGGACACCTGAGCTGAGAGTTGTGACCATCGACCACTGTCACCTACACTGCCAGTCTGTTTTGAGAGGTGGGTCATCCGCCCTTGAACTTTGCCGTTGCAACTTCTATGATTCCTTAAATTAACAACTCTGTAACGAAGAATTTTTCCTGTTAAATTTGTGCTATTTGAATCATAGTTGTGGTTTCTGTCTCCTGAGTGGACCCCGACTGATTGATAAATTGGTACTAGGTGTGGTTCCAGAAACAGCCCCTCAAGGACAGGCCTTGGAAGTGCTGGGATGGTGTCCTAGCCAGTGGGAAGTGGGAGGCCAGCCACCCAGGCATGCAGCAACCTCGTGACACATCTGTGCTGTTGTGTAGGTGCAGGTGCTGCTGCACGTGACCACTAGGGCAGTAATGGTACTGCCAGGGCTGGGGAGTCCTGCAGCACCAACAGGAAGAAATGCCAGGTTTGGACTTTTCAACACTCAGCTCAAGTCACAGCCGGGGAGTCAGAGAAGTGCCATGGTAACCCTGGTGTGTCCTCGTTCCTTGTGGCCTTAGGGCTGATTCTGCTAAAAGCCAAACACAACATTTAATTGTGCAAGTTGTATAACTGCAATGTAGGTTGCATTCATGGCCTCACCAAGTTCCCTACGAGAAAGTTAGGGTGCTGATTGGGAGGGAATGGGACCCCAAAACACGGAATGGGGACGTCTGGTTGGGTTCAGATGAAGCTGAGAAACTTGAGCCCCCGAGTCCTCTGAGACTCCCCTCGCAGTGCACGCAGTGTGTCTGCCAGCGTCTGAATAGATGAGCCCTGACTGAGACCCTGTGATAACCTCCCCCGGGCCAGGGGCCTGTTCTGCTCAACCACGCCCTGTCAACAGCAGACCCGTGACCAGGGTCACGTCTCAGCATGCTCCTGGGTGTCGGGGTCAAGTACAAAGTCTGACCCAGGATGAAAGAGCGTATTTACCACAACTATTGTGAGATTTCATTCATTCACACTCAGAAACCTGAGCAATATGGTGGGAATGGAGGCTAAGGGTGTTAGACCACCTGGACGGGGCTGGCTTGCTGATACGGGTACACTTGCTAGAGATTCTGAACTTAGCGGGCGAGCTCTTGTGAACTGCTGGAGATGACAGTTCACTTCGTTGAGTGAAATCTGGACTTGATGGAGGTCTACAGTGAATGAAGTGGAGATGCCAGAGCTTCCCAGAATGACACAGAGGAAGGAACTGTGCCAGGAAAGGGGTCTCCATTGGGCACACTTTGTTCAGTGAAATCTGGCCTTGATGGAGGTCTACAGTGAATGAAGTGGAGATGCTAGAGCTTCCCAGAATGACACAGAGGAAGGAACTGTGCCAGGAAAGGGGTCTCCATTGGGCACCGTTGAGTGAAATCTGGACTTGATGGAGGTCTACAGTGAATGAAGTGGAGATGCCAGAGCTTCCCAGAATGACACAGAGGAAGGAACTGTGCCAGGAAAGGGGTCTCCATTGGGCACACTTGGGCCTGGGTTCTCTCACTGAGCTGGGCAGTGATGAGGAGCTGGGGGCTACGGGAGGCAGGTTGGGGGCTGCCAGGGAGGCGAGTTCATCCACAAATAGCATGAATTCCTGGAACCTCCAGCCAGAGCGGCTCTGCAAATGTCCCTCCAGGCCTTGGGGGATGCGGGGACGCATCCGTGACTTCTTGGAATCCTCTGTTGAGCACATGGAGGGGCTGCTGGTCTGGGTGCCTGCTCAGTCCTGGAGCAACTCCCGGGGGCAAAGCCCAGTCTGGGCCCCAGTGGGGAGGGGGCATGGGAACTCCTGGGACCTCCAGCCAGAGCGGCTCTGCAAATGTCCCTCCAGGCTATGCTCCCAGGCCTTGGGGGATGTGGGGACGCATCCGTGACTTCTTGGAATCCTCTGTTGAGCACATGGAGGGGCTGCTGGTCTGGGTGCCTGCTCAATCCTGGAGCAACTCCCGGGGGCAAAGCCCAGTCTGGGCCCCAGTGGGGAGGGGGCATGGGAAACGAAGGCTCGCCCCTCGTCCTCAGGGGCCAGCAGTCTGCTGTCAGGGCAGGGGAACGGGTATGTGTGAGTCCATCCGGGCTGCTCTAACAAAATACCATCAACTGGGTGGCTTAGAAACAGAAATTTATTTCTCAGTTCTAAAGGCTGGAAGTCCAAGATCAAGGTGTGGCAGATTCAGTGTCTGGTGAAGGCCACTTCCTGGTTCATAGATGATGCCTTCTTGCATGGTGGGAGGGGCAAGGCAGCTCTGGTGTCTTTCACAAGGGCACTGACCCTATTCTCGAGGACGTCACCCTCATCACCTCGTCTCCTTGCAGAAGCTCTGTCTCCTAATACTGTCACCTTGGAGGTTACGATTTCAACTCATGAATTTTGGGGGGGCACAAACACTCAGAGCACGGCAAGGTGCCAGGTAAGCAGGGCCTGACTTGAGACACCTGCAAGATGGGCCACTGGATGGCAGGTGCTGCCCCTTGGGCTGCGACGGGCTGGGGCTGAGGCCTTGGTGAAGCTCCGGCCAGATTTGGGCACCTGCACACCCAGTGTGACGAGTCCCAAGATGGCCTTGCATGGACGAAGGGTGCAGGACACCCATAGGGGGAGGAGAGTAGGAGCAAAGGCATGAGGTGACCCCCAGGTGACGTCTCACCACTGCCTCCGCCCTCCCCGCAGCTCGGGGGCTGGGCCTTCTCTTGACCCCGGCCCCTCTAGACCAGCCCTGCCCCATGGCCTGGGTGCTGACTTGCCCACCTGCGCCAAACGGCCCTTGTGTGTGTCCCTGAACCTGGCCCCTCGCCTGGCTCCTGGAGCTGCTGGCCCATGTTTGTCAAGCCAGTGAATGCACAGATGGAAGGATGGATGGAGAGATGGACATGTGGCCAGGTGACTTGGTGAGGATGGTGCACTGGAAAATCTTGGAAAAGTGGGAACTTGAGATTCCAAGTGGGAAAGGCAGGGAGGAAGACTTGGGCTGAGTGCCCCCAACCCCGAAGGAGCCCTCATGCACTCTCTGGGTCCCCATCCCATTGGTCCTCATGGTGGGAGGCACTGGCCCCTCTGCCTAGCCCCTGGTGGCACCAGCTGGGATGAGGGTGACATGAGGGTGGGGCTCCCACACAGTGCTGGGCGATGGGAGTGGGTGGGGACCGAGAAGGAAGGAGGCTGCCAACCCCCTCCTGACGCTGCAGCTGCTGCCGGGGGCTGTGAGAAACAAGAGCCACTGCCTCGGTGAAGGCAAGCCCTGGGGTCCTCAGCCCGCAGACTGGGGTCCCTCAGATGATCCCAGGAGATGAGTAGGGGGTGAGAGCAGGGGCTTTGTTTATGGGTCCAAGACCAAAGAAGGAAGGCACAGAGAGCGGGGCAGGGGGGGCAAATTAAAGTGTTGAGGAGAAGGGAGAGAGGTGGCCGTGGTCCTGTCCCCACAGGCAGAACATGGGAGGGCTGGGGTCAGGCTTCACGCACGCCTGCCGCACTCATCTCTCGTTCTCGGACACGGGAGGAGCCCTCCAGTCGGGCCTCGCTTCCAGGACACCTGCGGTGCTGGGCAAGGCTGGGCTCCTCGCTCCACCCAGGAGAGGCTGTCCCAGCACACGGCAGGGAAGCAAGGTTGCACAGGGAGGGTCAGTCCACGTAGAGCCAGCTGTACCCACGCTCTCTGGAAGCACCAACTCACAACTGACAGCTTCACAAGGAGATCCAAGCACAAGCCTGGGGGCTCTGCTCATTAGGGTGCCTCTGTGGTCTCTCTACTTGGAAAGGAGGGACCTGCGGAGGAGGGAGGTGGTGGACCCCCAGGGCTGTGGGTGGTGAGCTCGGGCACTAGATTCCCCAGTGAATGACCTCCATGAAAGCACCTGAAAGGCAAGCTCCAGCGGTCGTGGCTGGCTGAGTGCCTGCTTGGGAGTTTTGCCCTTGGAAAGACCCGGGTTCTACTGGAGGCCAGCCCGAGGCTCAGGCCAGGGTCCGAGTCAAAGGCAGCTTCATGTCCAAGCAGGAGCTTCCTGGGCTGGCGCTATCTCCCTCAGGGCCATGAGGGGCTGGCCTCAATCCCCCTTCCAGCCTGTTGGATCTCAAGCCAGGGACAAGACCTGGGGCTGCTGCTTCAAGGTCTGAGCCCCAGGTGTGGGCCGAGAGGAGCCCGACTTGGGAATGAGGTTGCCCACTGCAGAGGGGGCTGTGGGCTCCTAGCATGGCCCCTCCATGCAAACAGGAAGCTGTCCTTTTCACTTGGAAGTGAAGGACAGCAAAGGACAGAAGCTGGTCATCGACTTGGGGAGCTGGGTGCACTCCACATGAAAATGATAGGGCGGCCCTGTGACTGGACCTGGACGAGGTCGGGCTCTGGTCAGTGGAGCCGGCAGCCCGAGGACGCCTCCCTCCGGGTCCTCACCTTCAGCCTCTTCAGGCCGCTATGGTCGGGGTCCACGAGGAGGCCGTTCTCCGCTGCTGTCCAGGCCTCTGCGTAGCGCTGCTCCTCCAGGCAGCGCAGCCCGAGGTGCAGGAACACGCAGGCGGTGGGGGCCCGGCCTGGCTGCTCCCACAGGCTGCCCTGGGCCAGGGTGGGTGCCAGCTTAAGGGCCTGGCTGAAGGCCCCTGCAGCCCCCTCCTCGTCCCCCAGGCTCAGCAGCAGGCGGCCCCGGGAGCAGAAGTCCTCTGCCTGGCTTGGGAGGTCGCTGTCCTCTGCACCCTCTCGGAGCACACGGTCCAGGTCCTTGAGTGCCCGGCCAAACTCCCGCAGCTCCGCCAGGCAGGTGGCCCGCAGACGCAGGTGACAGGCACTGCCACTACCAGCCAGGACAGCCAATGAACAGTAGCCCAGTGCCTGCCTGGGTTGCCCTGCATCTAGGAGGGTTCTGGCTTCCTGGGATGCTGCCTGGACAGAGGACAGAGAAGGAGGGAGAGATCTCGGGGTCAGTCCGCAATGCCCACCTGTTTCTCACTGGCCTGAGCCACTCTGCACAGTGGCCTCTGCTTGCTCCCTGGAGAGGGAAGGTCACCGTCACGGTGCACAGGAGCTGCTGGCTTCTTCCAGCAGGGCTGGCCCCAGGCAAGGGTGGGGGTGGGGGCCCAGGGTAGTGGACCCCTCCCTGCAATTCCCACCACCTTGAAGCTGCGAGGCCGGGCTCAGACTTCATCCTCTGTGACTACCCCTCTCCCTGGGCCTCCAATCAGTCACCCGGATTTACTTCCTCGTGGTCCCCCCCTTCGCACAGCTCTCCTGCCCCACTGCTGGACCCAGCTTCCCTCGCCTGGGAGACCGCAGCAGCCTTGTCCCTCCGCTCCTCTTGTCAAAACCACCTCTCCAACAGGTCCCTGACAGAGATCCCTGATGGGGCTGCCGCCCAGCCCTCCACCCTGCCCACCTGCCAAAGGCTGCCCCGGCCCTCAGGACGAGAGCAAACACAGCCCTTGCCCAGCCCAGTCCCTGAACGCCCTCCTTGTCCCAAGGTCAGGACTCGGGAAGGGAGTGCCAGCTGGGCACTAATGTGTTTTCCATTACTGCTGACCAATGAGCTGCGAACGTCAGAGTCAGGACAAAAAACATGTTGCCGGTGGCTCCCATCTCCTGCCCCCAGGCACTGTGCCCCAGCATCTGCCCGCATGATCCCCAGGGCTTGGGGTTCAGTGTTTGCCTTCCTGGGACTGGCACAGCGGGCGCTTTGAGGAGGGCTGTGCTGGACTCGTCCACCAGCCTCGGTGGACGCCGTGGGACAGGGCCGGAAGAGGCCAGTCAGTGAACACCGTCCATCTTAGCCCTTCTCTCCTTGGGGACTGCTGGACTGAGGGCCCAGCCCCAAGGGGTGGTTGCTGGTCAAGCTTGCCCACCTCTGCTCTGCCCCCAGCACTTTCCTTTTCTGTACCGAGGCTGAAAGCCACTCAAAACCTGCCAAAATGCCTTATCTCTTTTCCTCTGACCCTGGTTCTGATACAGGAGAGGCTCAGTTTCCCAGGGTTCAGGTTTCAGGACTTGCCTCTGGGTTCCCAAACACTCCCTGAGGTCTCAAGCCCCCTCCTCTGAGCTGTCCCCCAGAAGAAAGATACTGTTGCCAATTAGACCTGTTTACAGCACCAACACTAGAAAGACGAGACCACAAGGGGCTGGCTTATGCAAATCCAGTGGCTGGGCATGCTCAGTAGAGAGCGCAGAACATTCTTGAACATGCCTGGTGCATGTGACAGGGTCTGTCCAGCGAAAGAGCTCCAGGGAGACTGACAGAGCACGTGTAAGACTATGTTACATAGTTACATGTTAAATGTTACATATCTGGGCGCCACCCCATTGGTTGAATATTCATTAGATGGAGAAACTATAAAAGCCAATCTCAGCAGAAGGCGGGGTTTTGCTCACTGTCCTGGGGATGGCCGGGACTTTGTATTAAATTTACTCTCAGCAGCAGCTGCTGGGCCTCCGGAGCCAGCCTGCCCTCTGTACTGAACTTTAGGTATGTGTGTTTCTTGCTTTTGTGTTAGACTCTCGGTGTCTGTACTGAACTTACTTTAGTGTTAGACTCGGTGTGGGCCCTGCTCGGTCTCTGGAGCGCGCCGCCCTCTCTGCATGGAACCTGCATTTCTTATCTGTTCCATTAAACCTGTTCTCACTGCTGTGACTCTGCCCTTGAATTCTCTCCTGTGGCGGAGTGGAGACCGGGTAAGAGGACGGGGCAGGTTGAGGCCGACTGTCGGGCCCCCCAGACCCTACCTCCAACATCAGTTCCTCCTAGTCAGCTGTGAACAGAAGTCACCCGGACGCCCCACGGATCAATCTGCGTGCCTCGCACGGCCCCTCCTCCGTCTGAGCCTAAGTGGCCCCCCTGCTGAGGAACGGGGACCCTGAGACCCTGCCTTTCTCGCTGTCCCCCCTTTCCAGGCAGCCGCACCGGCCCCAGCCCTGCACCCGGCTCCCCCGATCCTCGCCTCCCCCGGGAAAGCACAGAGCACCCCGGACCCCGCAGGGGCGCGGCTGCAGGCAGCAGACCCCGCCGGCGATGCCAGG